GTCAATCTCCTACAGTATCTACAATATAAATATCACACAACATTCTCTCATACTTTCATATATTCAAACAAACTTATTCTTCTAATCAATTCTTCTTCTTAAACTCAAATAACAAAAATGATTGGTCAACCAAATCTTCTCAACAACTTCAATGGTGATTATCAAACCATTGGTTTTGGTAATTATGGTTATGGAATTTATACACAAGGTAGTGGAATGTATGTCAATCCATGGAATGGACATATTGGTGTTGAACGTGAAGTAGATTTTACTCCATTAGATGTATATCATTATCAACCAATCACGGGTATTCCAGCATCTATTCGTCAACATTATATTAGTTAAACACTGCATTGTCAATTGTATATTCAGATCTTTTACTGTTTTGTATATTTTTGATAAAATAAAATCATAAAAAGCATTAAAATAGATTTTTTTCTTGAATTATATTTCATAGACTATATTCGAAAGGTTCTGATTGATTATAAATCTTATATAAGTATTATGAATTACAATATGTCGAATTTTGGATGAGTGGCATAACGATTAATTTAAATAATAGAAATATGATAGCAAAGAATCCGACGATCAGTATACAAAATAGTTATGTGTGAAAAGAAAGTTCAGTAATTCTAACAACAGATATCAAACGATACATTAAATCTGTTTTCATCAAATATTTTAAACTCAATTTAAAAATATCACCATCATAATGGGTGTGGGTGTAGTTGTGAATATCGATGAGTGTTCTATTTCAGATACTCTCACACCCACACTCAACAGGTTTCCATTTTTAATGAATAAAGTGACTGCTACCGATATAGTTTTTCAAACTTCAATATATATACATTCTTTCCCTCTCTACGTTTGATCATCATGCGTGTTTCTCTCTTTTATATTTTCTGTTCTTCAATAGTCTGAGTCATGAAATAAAAAAAACACGCATGATTTTATATTACTATTTACATTGTAATTAGATATCCAATGATTCGTTCTTATCACAGATCGTGTTCCATAAGGATGAAGATTTTCTTGACCTACACACCCTCAAGATACGAATATTGTTTGATTGCTTTTTCGTTTGTTTTAAATAAATTGTATACGTAAGACATCTATCGAGAAAATATTTCTATAGTCAAATTGAACAGACGGGAGAAGAAAGAATAACTATCGATTTTGATATTCAGTCAGTTTTAAGAAAAACATTCAATTAGTATGTCGATAACAACAATCGAACATTTCTCAAATGAAATATTCTACGAAATTTTCGAATATTATAATGCATATGTAATTTTCAATGGATTCTCAAATCTTAACAATCGTTTTCAACTACTTCTCAATTCTTCCTCAACACGATTAAAATTAGATGATAATTATCTTGAATCAAAAGAACTTCTTTATGATCTTCGTCATCAAATAATATCAATTCATTCATTCGGTGAATACACAACTAAAATAATGTCAACGATTAAATCTAATCTATCATTATTTCAATCTTTTCAATCACTTATTCTTTATTCTGTTAAACCCGATATTTTATCATCACTTATTCATCAATTATCTTCTTTACCTACTTTCTATTCATTAACAATTGATGTAGGTACTGAAGAACAAGATCATGCAAATATTTACCAATCAATTTTTAATTTACCAAAATTAAAATATCTTAAATATCGAACATGTGATTATGGAGATATTGATATAGTTATTTCATTACCAACAGCAACTGATCAACAAAAAACATCAATTGAATATTTTATTATGAGTCAGCGTAGTTCTATGAAAGATCTTTTTACTTTATTATCCTATACACCAAATGTTCGTTATTTAAAATTTTTAAATTTTATTGCTATAGATAATTTAAATACGATTGAACCAATTAAATTAATAAATTTAACAAAACTTTCAATGATAATTTGTCAAATGACATTTGATGAATTTGAAATTGTTATTAAAAAAATGGGATTAAATTTAAAAATTTTATCATTGAATATTAGACATGAAGACATGGCATATCTTAATGCTAAACGATGGGTAGATTTTCTTCAAGAAAATTTATCACAATTAGAAAAATTTTATTTTATAAAAATGGTATATTTTTCGGATGATTATGAAACACGAATGTATTTAGGAGAACAAAATGAATTTAGTTCAACATTTTGGATTGAACGACGATGGATATTTAAAGTTGAAAATGAAGGTGACAGTTTAATTTATTCAATTCAACCATATAAGTATATTATAAAAGAAAAGTCACGTTTTCTTGATTTAATTTATATTTATTTTAGAAAGAAATGGTTTGAATATGATTCTGAATCAAACCAATTATTGAAATCTGTTGAACTTGAAATAGCTAATGTGTCACCTGAACGATCGCTAAAATCAATCAGTATTAGTGATCATATTTATCATGCATTGACTATTACACAAATCTATCATTTACAAATCTCAACGACAATTTCTCTTGAAAATTTATATAAAATTTTACTTCTATTACCTGATATTGAAACATTATCATTATTTCGATTATTATTTACTAATCCAACATCTATAATTGATGAAGAACTTCAACCATTATATTTATTATTTCATGAAAAACATTGTCAAAAACTTTCCTTTAGTGATGTTTATCAAATGGCGGATGTTCATTTTTTAATGCTTATTTGTTTTCATGTTAATCATCTTCATCTTCATTGTAATGATTATAACCATGTTGAATCATTTGTAGAACTTATATTATCTCATGTTCGATCAAGAAAAGATAGTAAACTTCGATTATTATCATTTACTATGCTAAAGTTTGCCAATGATATGATCGAATTTTTAACTAAAATAATTAAAGAAAATAAATTACTTAATGATTTTATTATTGAACAAGTTAATAATGATGTTTATATAAAATGGACATGACTCTATTGTTTTATTAGGATGTTCGTTATTATTGTTATAGAATAGATATGATTTTTGAATAAATTGTTTATTAGGATAGGAAAAGAATACTCATCATTACTAATAGATGTACCAGTTACATAATTCAATTTATCGTTATTCGGTACTTTTTGTTGATGTTCGTAAAGTATTACAACCGAGAATTGAAACAAGTATAATGATTAGATATTATATATCAATCAGCACAGGGTGCGTGTGCTCAAAAGATTATTTAACATCAACAACACTCATCCACATCTACCCACCCAGCGAATCCAAAAGATGAGTGCTACTTGTTGGTACTAGTAGATTGATAAAATATCCGATGCAAAACAGCAAAGACAAACCCTTCTACTTGACTTTGTGGAAAAAAAGTCTTCGACCAATTTTCAGTAGTTTGTTGATATATAAGAATAATGGATTGAATATTATTTGTTGTTCTACTCGCTCTTAAACGAACACGAGCTACTCGAATCGTAGTTCGAATATTTTTCATCATCTATAAACCTAAACCGATCATCAGCAAAGGAATAATAGATCAGTACTGCAACATATAGAAATGTATCAAAAGATTCTTCTTTGATGACTGGCTAAGCCCGATGACAGAGCAACTTTTGAATTTTTATCTTGCTAGTGACGATTCGAACTAAATGATTAGGCAAAATGTTATAGTTGATAGAGAATTTTCGTTATCTTAAATTTTATGTAACGAAGTATTCACATTCATTAACACTTTTGGTTTCTTTTTTTTTTCTTTGCTCGCACTGGCAATCTCAATGGCTATATGATGACCGCTATGCATTGGTATAGAATATGCAATGCAACAGAGACAATAACTGTCGGTCAGAAGGTCAATGCGTTTACATACGTGATCGGTTAAATGATACATATAGGTCATGTCCTGAAAATCACTGCATCTATATTTATATATAAAGCGAGAGTTAGTTGCTGCATTTGAATTATTCTTTTTGAAACATACTCGCATTTATATTTATACAAAATCAACAAATACAGATTCAAATTTGAAAATAATGGGAACAGTCACATCTAATGATGAACAAAATCAACCAACTAATGGTAATCTTCTATCAATATTATCATCAAATAACATTGATAATTTTCTTGTTCCTTATAGAATCGAAAATTAAACATCAACGTTGTAGAAGAACATTCACGTATTATCAAATAGTTGAATTAGAAAAAGCATTTTCTTATTGCAAGTAAGAGAAAAAAATATTTTTTCTATTTATCTACCAATACATATATGTAGGTGTCCCACAAAGCGTGAACATTGTGAACTTGCTCGTAGATCTGGTTTAAATGAACGACAAGTTAGAGTAAGAGAAAGTGTATTTTGTTTTGTATGTTAATATATTAGTTTTGTTTATTTAGATTTGGTTTCTCAATCGGTATGTATAAATTACGAGTTCTTTTTGCATTCTGTTCAGTTATACTTATGAATTTTTTTACTTTAGTCGAATGAAATGGGTGAAGGAAAACACAATAGGCTCTCGTTATTACCCGGCGGTTGCTGCATGATGGTTGTTATTAACAAATGTTCAAATACAATTAATTAATGCACGTATATCTAATCATTAGTCGATAGTTGTAGAATGTATACTATTTCGTTTTGTTCTTTAGAAATTAATTGTTGATTAAATCGCATTTATTCAAAATAAAATATGATTTATCTACCGTTGTTGTTTAACCAACTTTTTTACGATGATAAAGCACAACAACAATGTTCCTTTTTAATCTTCTGAGGGTAAAAATGTCATTTGAATAAACATTATAATTACAACAGGAAACCAAAATGCCATATAGAATGATGAAACAATCTATAATTGAAAAATCATTTTACGATGACGTCGTAAATGAACAATTTGTTGTTGAATTCTCTTTTGATAAATAACTCGAATAATTAAGAATAAATTGATAATAAATATAATCATTATCGGTATAATAGAAGATTAAATATAAAATTTTTCTTCATAATAACATAGAAAATCACAATTAAATAGATTGAAATCCCATTGAGTTGTATATAATGGACTAATAACAACAAATACAAAGAAAAATATCGGTACCCAAAGTAAACAAAATAGAATAGATAGAAGATGAAATAATGATTTTTTCATTGATTTTCAAATATTGTGTGTGAATGAAAAATAATCATAAATCTTTCAATTAAAATCCATCTTGAGGGGTGGGTGTGTGTGTGGTTGCGAATGTGGGTATGGGTGCAGCCAAAAAAGTATTTAGCATCACCCACACACCCACACCCACCCCTTGACACATTTCGCTTACAAAAAGAGTTTGCTGTAACTTCATGAATGACATAGATGAACATATCTATAAATAACAAAAATAATAACAGATAATCCAAAATAAAATCTATAATCACATTAGATATAGCAATTAATGAGAATGAGGGTGAGGCTGTTGATGAGGTAAAGAAAATATTTACATTTAACTCACCTTATTTTCACACGAATACGTATTTTAATAAAAGAGAATCAACAATAAGATAATTTCTACTTAATATTTCTATCCGATTAGTATTTATCTCGTTGTTAGTCTTAAATTTATCAAATCAAGCCACTCCAGAAGAAGCAAACTGTTTAGTGAAGAATATCTATAAAGAAGTACCATCGAAGTATGAACGGAAAACTATACAAAGATCTATTTTTTTTTCGTCCTTTAATTTATTTTACAGAGTATGCAACTATTCAACTTTGTCTTTAACCCTTTGGTTACTGATTTTTTTATTAAGATGGATTTTTTGTTTTTCATTTCAAAACAGTCTCGAATAAATTTTATAAGCACATAAAAGTATTCAGAAATATTTCAGAATATGATAGCTCTCAAAACAACCTATCACGCAAAGTCCAACATCATAATCACCACATTGATGGCGTGTATCGGTACGCTTTTTCTCATATCTACTTGCAGAGACGCATCGACGTAGGAGGCGCGAAGTTGTAGCGCCCCTGCTTCCGCAATTTCCTTATACTTCGCCCCCTACTTCTGGAATTACTGATATCACACTAAAGGTTATTGCAAGCGGGCGAAGTCTAAAAGTCATCGTGTGCTAAATCTTTGTAAACGTTAGTTTTTCTGCCCTAAAATTTACAACAAGTTTTCAAGAATTTTTAAAAATCTTAAAGAATAGTCGGACATCCCAAAATGTTTTAGGATTCGACATCTCTTGTTACGCCCCTCGTTCTCCTCTGCTTTAGATGTCTCGGTACGTCCCGTCTATGACTTTCACATGATTACAACATTATTCTGTTCTCTGATTGTATATTGCATCATGTTTTCAATGTATGAAACTTATCATGAAATAACTAATACATTGCATCATTCATAGATGAAATCTTCGAATGTCGTCATAAAAAGTAAATGCATCTGTTGGGGATCGAACCCAAATCGCTCGAGTGGAAATCGAGTACTCTACCATTGAGCTACAGATGCTTGTTCTTATTATTGGAGCATTACTGCTTTATTCTTTTCATATGCAATGATTCTCGTCACTCTACGTTCTCAACGGTTGATATTGTTCTTAGGTTTGATGAAGTATCGTAGTTAGAGATCACTTCCAGAATAATTTATCATGTAAGACACTCCAGAACGCAGTCAATATGTATTCCATACTCTGATAGAAATGGCATTTCAAAAATAATATGTAATCAATTATGATTTACTCGAAATAAAATATACGAAAGAGGAGATGATCATGATTTAGGTTAAATCATTACTAATATTTGATAAACATAATAGCACGTCAAACAGTAACCTATATTTTACCCGACGTTGCTCTCATCTTAACATCAATCACAAAGAAACGATGCTTTAGAAAAAGATGTAAATGTTCATTGTCATATTTTTGACTGATAGGAGAAGTCCATGTAAGAAATTGTTCTTACACGTTAAAAACTTGTCTTGAATTTGGTGGTGGAACTACCCGTAACAGTCGATACAAACAATGTGGTTATAAAAAAAAGGTTCAATTCGACGACCTAGGTTGGTAGACATGTCAATGCCCATGAGAAAATGCTGGAAGAAACTGAACATACATATTATATCAGTTGGTTATTAATATGGTTTAAATAAATAAATTTATTTTACAAGAGTATTGCACATAGACGTAGGGCAGAGATATATCAATGAATCACAATGAGCAGATCATCGATATAAGGAACGTGACTGATCATGTTCTAGTTTTCTTTTCATCTTCCTTTGAACTTCGAGTTACTGATGAGAATATTATTCTCTTGAAAAAATTCGAAAGATATGTGCATATATAAATATAAATACAAATACAAACAATTTTATTTGTCTCCTCTAATCTTATGCAATTACCATATAGAATGAATCATTCATGCATCATTTTCTTGCAAATATATTTGTAATTATGAAAGAAAAAGAATATTTCGCCACAGCAGGGAATTGAACCCTGTCCTTCGGTTGGACAAACCGTTATACTACCATTGTACTACAGTGGCTTATGTATTCTAATTTCAATAGTTATTCACCTCTAGTCTTAATTTATATGCAAAAAATATAATGGAAACAAATGGTTTTTCATTTTAATTATTGGTATTAATAAGAAAATGAAACAAATTCGAAGTTACACAATCGTTCACCGACATGAAGATCAGTTTTATAATAATTGAATTTGAGATGACACTTTGAAACTAGAGATATCAATGACGATTTTATTGAACCTTCAATGCAAGATGTGAGTGAGACTGAAACTGCATCCTTAATTACACCCACCCTAATCTATTTTTGTGCTGAGCACATAATCGTCAAATATATAATGAATTTTTGCCTATATAATTCACTGTTAACTATAAACTTAAAATATCAATAAGTTGTTACTTTAGTGTCTAGAAGCATTAAATCAATAAACTAAATAAGACAGAAAAACATGTTTTAATATTGTATATACAGTAAAAACATAGTATTTTCCAGTAGCATATCGTGACAATAACGCACAATTTTTCCTGACATCATTGCTGACAAATGAGAGATTTCACATAGGATACGCTTTCATCATCGTTCTTTCTTTTGAATGACTCATTCATTTGATGTGTATTAGTTAATTTATGTTCTTATATAATTAGATTTCGGCAGCATGGCCGAGCGGTCTATGGCGACAGTTTCAAGCACTGTTCTCTCGTGGGTTCGAATCCCACTGTTGTCATTTAGAATTTATTTTATATTTTTCCCTATGACAATCTGTTTATTCTAAACTCAATATTAATAAATAAAATGAAATCTATATTCTATCTATTTTATATGTTTAGATATGATCCATATCAAAACTCAAGTTATGTTTTTCCTAACATCTGTAGAGATTAAATACAGTAGAATAAGTTGTAATGTTTGATAGCTGATTTGCAACTATATCATTATCTGAAGAATACTAAAGTGTATGAAAATAAAAGTTTCATTAAAATTGACGAATTTTTCATAGTTCTGATAAATAAATATCTCTCAATGAATTGTCCGTTTGATAATGTATTTCTTATCGAAGTGAGTCTGACTTGTCAATTGGCCACATATTGAGAAGTAAAGTAAGTAAATAGAGAAATAGCATCCCGCTGTAGTCTAATGGTATGATCTCCGACTGTAGAAGTAAATAGAGCGCAGAAATCGGATGGTTTCGGTTCGATTCCGAGCGGCGGGATATATTTTTATCTTGTGCTTTGACTACATTTCAAATTTTGATGATGCAATCATTCCTTCTTTTTTTCCTTCAATGATTCATACAGGTGTTTTATTTATCTATTGGAAAGACAAAATTTCTTTCCAACAAGTTTACAATATTTGACTCTTCTTGAATCATTTTTGTCTTGATACCTTAAAAATCATGAAGATATTCTTAGCAAAAACTAGTTATCTTTAAATTTTCGAGAGTGGGTGTGAATGTTATGATCATATTTTATTCACACCCACACCCACAGACGCTCTTTATTCACATATAAAACAAACTAAACACAAGTCTTTTGCAATTAATATAAAAATTTTATGTGACTGTTTCGAATGAATTGGGTTGGTTTGATGTAAGCAAGGTTTTTCTGAAAAATAAAAAGAGTTTCTTTGAAGTGATATTGTGATTGATTGATTTCTTGAACAATGATCAGATCAAAATGTTCATTTTTTAAACCGACTCTTCATTTATTTGTGTCGAGAGTTGATCAATCTTATCCGTAACTGTGAACATGTCGAAATCTGAAGCAGATTCAGATTGTTTATAGATCGTTAATATTTGTTGATAATATTTTAAAGCTATTTGACGTTCGTTAAGATCTTCATAACATTCAGCGATATTTGCTAAACTGTCAATAATATCTTCATGATCTGGTGAGAAAACTTTTTCGATGATTGAATAATATTTCATTTCATATATTAATGATAATTGATATTCATGTCGAATTCGATGAACGTGAGCAAGATCTAAAAGAGTAGCTGCAACGGATAAGTTTTCTGGAGAGAGACTAGCTTCTTTGATGTGTAAACATTGTTGAAGATATTCAATAGCACGATGATAACATTGTTCGTTTTTTCCAAACAGAGACAATCCATTCGAGATCATTGACAAGCTGAGAGTGATTAAGTGGATCATATTGTTGAAGTAAAGCTACTGCTCGAGAGAAATCATCATGAGCTCCATCAAAATTGCTTTGTTTAACTTTTACCTGACCCATATCCTTTAGAACATTCACAACGGTTGTATACGAATATGGTAAATGTTTTTCCTGAATTGCTAATGCTCGATAATGAAAGGGAAGTGCTTGATCATATTTCTGTTGACTATCTAGAAGAAAACCCATATTACTCAAACAAGTTGGAAGTTCCAGATCTTCAGATGAACAGAATTTCTCATAGATGACTAATGCTTGTTCATACATATCAAAAGCTTCGTCGTATTTTTCTTGATTGCTCAAAATGTTTCCTATACTCGCAAGACTAGTTCCAATACACATATGACCAGATGAATAAAGTTCTTGTCGAATTGCAAGTGCTCGTTGATGATAATAAAGAGCTTAGTTAGGATCTCCTTGTTCAAGTAATACATTGCCAATAGCACATAAACATACGGTAAGATTTTCACAATTAGACGAAGGATTTTCTTCAAAAATTTGCAATGCTCGAAATAGGTAATTTAAACCTCCTTGATATTTTTCTAGTTGGATAAGAGAAGCACCAACATATTCACAAGAAAGAGCAACATTTTCAAAATTCGATGCATGATTTTCTTCATAGATTTGTAATGCTTGCTGATAGAAATCCAAAGATTCATCAAACATTTTCTGACCATATCGAGTATGACCCATAGATTGAAGGCTTTCTGCAATTCTAACGTCGAACAGTGAATAAATAGTTTTTCGAATATTTAATGCATGTTGTTGATAATCATCTGCTTGATCACATTTTTGAAAATCAATTAAACAATTGCCAATATCAGTCAGACATGAAGCAATATCTGAATGACACCACGAGTAATATTTCTCATAGATAGTCAATGCTTTTTGATGGAAATTAATGGATTCCTCGTATCTTCTTTGACTATATCGTATATTTCCCATAGCCGTAAAATTATCGATGATTTTCAGATAATCAGAAGGATAATACGTTTGTCGCATATTCAATGATCGTTGTTGGAAATCAAATGCATGATCGTAGTTTCTTTGTTTATAGAAAACATCAGCAACATTAAAGAGAATCGTGGAAATCGCTTGATAATTTAATGAATCTAATGTTTCTCGAATTTTTAATGCTCGATGATAAGAACGAAGAGATTCATCGAATTTATTTTGACTATTAAAAATATTTCCTATATGATTGAGAGTACGAGCAATATCAATATGTTCAAGTGAATAATAATCTTCTTGCATTTTTAATGCTCGATTATATATCTGCAAGGCTTGCTCAAATTTCATTTGTTTCTTTAAAGCATTTCCAATCAAGTTGAGATTGTTAGCGATATGTGCATGGTAGGATGGATAAGATCTCTCTAACATAGTTAGAGACTCTTGAAAAAATTCTAGTGCTTGTTCAGAATTTTTTTTTCCATTTAATATTATTTGACCAATACTATTTGAAGCACAAACAATGTCTAAATGATCAGATGAATAAAGTTGGATTAATAATGCTAATACTTGTTGATATAATTGTAAAGATTCCTCATACATTCCTTGTCCATATCTAATATGTGCGATATGTGTCAAAGTGCAAGCGACATCGAGATGACCTGACGAACGCAAATTTTTCATTATTGTTAACACTTGTTGACTGAGATTTAGAGATTCTTCAAAGATTTCTTGGTGATACAGAATACTACCATTACGAAAAAGTAAAAAAGCTATATATGTATGATTTGATGGATAGTATTCCTTACAGATGGACATTGCACGTTTTTGATACTCCAATGCTTGATCATATTTTCTTTGATCAATTAATATATCAGAAATATTATCCAAACTAATAGCAATATCAACATGAAAATGTTCATAATATTTTTCTCGAATTTCTAATGCTTGTTGAAGAAAATCAAGAGCTTGATCATATTGTAATCTTCTGCCGAAAACAAGACCAATATCATTTAAACTATTAGCAATATGTGCGTGATCTGAAGGGTAAAATTGTTTTTGAATTGTCAACGCTTGTTGATAAAAATCGTATGCTTCTTCATATTTTCCTTGTGAATATAAAACTTTACCAATAGCAGAACGAACTACAGACGAATCTTGAAGATTAATTTTATTACTTTTAATCGCTCGATCATAACATAATCGTGCTTCATTCAATTGTCCAATTTCATAGAAAGTCTCACCAATAAAATATTCAATCCATGGTAAATCTTGTTCACTTGAATGGATTAATAAATATTGAAGATATTTTCTTGCTTGATTCCATTCATTCATATCACACATTAATTTACTAAAAATAATTGGAATACTTAAGTTTTCTATTTGTCGATGTGTATCTTTGAGATATTTTTCTTTAATTATTTGTCCATAATTAACTGCAGCTAATCGAATAAGAATTTCTTGATCATTTTCTTCAATATTTTCCAAGTGAAATGTTGTATTTAAATCAAATAAAACGTCATTTTTATTCTGATATTCATTTAGATTACATTTGATTTCCAAGTGAACATCGATTAAATCTGATCGTTGTGGTAATAAAATATCCTGCTTTACTAATAGAAATCCTTTCATTGACATCAATTGACCCTGTTTTTGTTTGAAATGATTTAATTCATGTTTTGATACTTTTATTTGTTGATAAATAACAACATTTTCTGTATGACGTTCACGAGTTAAATTTTCGATAAGATCAACCAGAAAATATCTTAGTTGATAAAGTTGATCGATGTCTTTTCTTTGCAATGATTTTGTTATTAATTGTTGAAGAAATGAATTATTTAAATACCATTGAATAGCATCATTAGATTGATATAATTTTTCATCAGCATAAAGACGGAAGATATTCATCATATCTTCTTTTGCTTGTTCATCATGAGGAAAATATGAAACAGCATCATGAAGTAATTGCATCCAAAGAAAATCACTTGATTGTTTTCATAAATCTCTTTTGGAGAAGTTTGTTTGATCATAAAATGTCCATTGAAAAAATTGTTTAGCTATTAAATTAATTTGTTCTTCAAGAGCTGAATAGAAAAAATCCAATCGATGATAAACTCCAATTATATTTAATTGTTCATGAAATAAATATTTAAAGTCTTCAGGTTTTGTATAAAAGATAAAGATTGAATGTACTTGTTGAAAAATATCAATATGAGATACCAATTCACAAACATAGGAATCAAAAATAATCAAGAAACTTTTTTCATGTTTAATTGATTGAATGAAAGAAATGCATGATTCCAATTCGGTATGAAAAACAACATGATTATTCATTTGATTCAATTGTTTCTTCATATCTTCGATTTGATTATTTGGATGAAAACAAATAATAATGATTTGTTCATCATTATCGTCTTCTGGTAATGATTTTTTTACAATCATTGGAACTACCACTTGACAATGTTCTTGTTCTCATTTTTTGTTTCATTTATACTATATCAACAGTAAACGGTTGGTTTTTTCTCAATAAACATACAATGACGCATGTAAAAGAACGATTGAAATTTCCTCAGGTAAAGAAAATATAACCTAAAGGAAGTATGCCATGTGCTCGGTGGGATTTTTTCCTTTCGTCTTACTCATCAACTAACTTATTCAAGTGTAACTGTCTATCAAAAGACTCACTTTTTTTGCAATAATAACCAATAAATCTATGAATACTTATCGAATTTTTGAGAAAAGTAATATTCTATCATATACTTATTTCTTATTTGTATACAATAAAATTGCGTCATATCGTTTTCTATATGAGAGTGTGGGTGTAATGTATATCATCAACATTAGGATGTGGGTGAAGGTACAGATAAAAAGAATACTCAAACTCACATCCTTCAATAAGAAACAGAAGTTTAATCTTGAATATTTATCAACAATATACATAAAATCAATCAATAATTTTCGAATATATTTGAATAAAAAATGATTAATTAAATGTTTATTAATAATAAGGATAAAAGCATATTAAAAAATAATTTCATCGTATTTCGATATGATAGAAATACTTACAGAAATTAAAAAAAAAGAAAAATCTTGACATATTATGAAAGAAAATAAATAAATATATAAATATTAATATTAACAAAAACTGATGGACACATGATAGACTTTTAATCAATTTCAATTATCATATATAATAATTTATTAAATCTTGTACCGCTTAACAAGAAACTAAATTCATAAATATCTTGAGGATGTTACATTCATCCTTCGTTCATTATTCACATTGATTTTCATTTTTCCGCTGGCAAATATATATACAAGTTAAAATATTCGTACATTTTTCTCAAATCTATTAACATAAATCCATTTCTCTAAAGCATTTTTCCTATGAATAGATATAGAATTGTAATAAATATTTCACGATCTGAATGCTTTCTAGTTAGAAAGCTAGCATTTTTGACTCAAGTGTCATTTTTCTGCTTGAAATAAGCATCTATGTCACCGATCGAACTTTTGTCTAACCCTCGAGTGTGACGAGTACGTGAGGACATGTTTAGTGATTATTTGTCACTCTTCGATAGACAAAGAAAAGAATAAGCACATTACGTCCTTTAAATGATGTCCAACTGACTTTTAATTCTATTCTAATGATTCAGAAAGAAGAAAAAAAATTTCTCGGTTTTGTTAATGCCCACGTAAGAAATGACGCACTGTAATTATTTCCGTTTTTTTTTTGGTAACATTGTCAGATTCTTCACTGTATCATTAATTAAAATACTTCCAAGGACATTTCTTTCAAGATGTTAAAGCTTTGTCACATCACGTCTCCCCATCGTTTTTAATAATTTATGAGCATATATAAAGTAACAGAACTATCATTTTTTTTATATTACGTTCTATTTTTCTCAAGCATCAATGTCGACTTCAACAGTATTATATACTATTCAAACAAATCTATTTAGATTCGGTGGTCCAATATTAATATTAATTGGTAGTATTAGTTGTATATTCAATCTAATGGTTTTTACAAAGTCTACTCTACGAAAAAATCCATGTACAATCTGCTTTATAGCTGTGAATAGTCAGAATTTAATCTATTATTATGTGGCTGTCCTTGTGACGACACTTAGTGTTGGTTACGATGTCGATCCAAGTTCAATAAGTATTCATTTTTGTCGATTTCGTTTTTATGTTGGTTATGTATTTGCATCTTGGGAAGCAACTTGTATTATCTTAGCTTCGATCGATCGTACATTAGTCACTTCCTCAAAAGCCAATACACGGAAACTTAGTTCACGTCGATTAATTTTGATCAGTTTGATTAGTTTAGGTTTGTTCTGGATGATTTTTCATATTCATGCATTGATCTTTATGGAAATTGAACAGTTTGGACCAAATTATTTTGTTTGTTACTATCGATCCGGTGCATACACTTTATTCATTACTTATTATTTACTTTTAATTAATGGACTTCTGCCTCCACTAACAATGGCTATACTTGGATTTGTAACAGTGAATAATATTCGTCGAGTTGGTCGTGCAGCATTGCGTACTGAAGCACTCAATGGAGCTACTGTAACAATTGGAAGAAATCATACACTTCAATCCAAAGATCATCAACTTATTCGAATGTTACTTATGGACATCACTATTTATGTTATTTCGAAGACTCCACTAGCAATCTTCTACATTTATCAACAAATTACTCAATATCAAGAAAAAAGTCTTGAACAACAAGCAATCGAAGAATCAATTCTATACTTTACATATTTTCTGTTCTTTATTGAGAACAGCATTAGTGCTTACACTAATATACTCGTTTCAAGCACTTATCGTACGGAAATCAAACGAATACTCTTCAATAGTCATTAATACTAACATCTTCTCGCCTATATGAATATATGTTGTGTAATATATCGATACTCACTCTCTAATTTTTAATGGTCTGTTTATATAACTTCACTTATTCTATATAATAATAAAATGTCGTGCACTGTAGGTTAAGAAGATAAATCATATTCAAGTCGACTAAACATTCTTACTGACCATCACACACAACTGCAATAGAACGAGATATGTTTTTGATAGCGGATAATGGACTTCAATTACTAGTCAGAATAGTAACAATGATTAATGGAGTCTTTTTTACTTTTTTATTTCTTTCTATTCTTCTACTGTATTGTGTAGCATTTTTTGTCATGTACAAAAAATGAAGGCTATTCAAATAAATAAAAAGATTGTTTTGAAGAAATGTGGCAGTAAAAAAAAACACGTAACTATTGAAACAATTCTTTAACAAAAAATTGTCAGTAAAGAATCGCAGCGATTGCAACCGAAAAATAAGTGATTACAAAATAAAAATCATACACATCACAATTCTTTTTCGTATTCTTCAACAGTTTTATTGCAATACATTCAGAAATGCTGTCATGGGATCCAGCAAACTTAAGAAGTGGTCCATTGCTCATTCACTTGAGCGATGTCGACGATGATGAAATTACACAGCAAGTGGTAAGTAACTCTCACATTCATTCTTAGATACATAATTAATATATGTTTTACAGGTCGCGTTATTACGAAGCAAGAAGATTCCACTGCTACGGTTTCAGGGCGGTTACAGTTGTCAATATGAACCTCATCGTCTCGTCTATGAACTCAAAAAAAAGTCTATCCTTTTGACCAAAATTCGTTCGTTCAGTCGTCGAAGCTATTGGGTATTGTCGAAGCCTCCTGATTTCGGATTTGGGCTTGGTGTTTCTCCGAAATCTTCCACACACCTTGGAGGATTTATTCTATCCAACCTCGATCGCTCCACATATCATTAATAATATTAATCGAAATAACTAATCTCTAATTTCAATCAAAGTTTTTTTTTGTGCTTTAATCATAAGTTGTCAATGTAATAAAATATCAATCTATTGCGCAGTGAAAAACGTCTGTAATGTTCTTTTGTACCTCTACCCATTGAGGGTGTGGGTGAAAGTGTAAATGAGAGTGAAAAGGATTGTACCCGCACCCACCACACTCACATTCTCACTCACACCTTCCTTCACACCTGAGCTTTAACCGAGCCCGAGAGTTACGGTTTCGTCTCAGGCTCGGTACATCCCTACAAGCTGTGAGTCAGCAGATGTGGGTGTAGGTGTGGGTGTAACTGTGTGAGTGTGGCCGTGTGAAGGGGGGTGGCGATGTAAGTATTTCATTTTATCCACTTCTATCATCACCCAAATCTTCACAGCCAATTCACTGCTTTTAATCTTCATGTAAAGTTTCCAACATTTTGTCATTTCTCTCAAGGGAAGCAGTTGAATGGCAACAACGTAAAAGAGTGTTTACACCAGCGAATAGGCAACAAATGCAAACATTTTGAGAGTGTTGCAAATTACGACTGACAATCGAAAAAGTATAAATACGAGAAAAAAA